ATTAGTTCAATCAAAAAATTCCTCCGCGAAGGCAAATTTCTCCAAAATGCTCGATACAGGAGTTCCCTTGTCTTCTGAATTGGGTTCAAAATTACAAGGCTGCGAAGTTGAACATTAGCAGTCGCAAATTCAAACAATTCGATCGGCTGTTCAACAACGGTTATAAAATTTTCCAAAAAGATTGCATTGCATTTTTTTAATAGATTAATAAATAAATAAAAATTAACTATAACAATAAAATTATCTCTTTTTAATTGTAATGCATTCACGTGTGTTCGAAATTAGCATTAGTTAGGAATAAAAAAAGTCTCCTTTATCATATTTAAAGAAGATTCTCTTGCGTTTCTTCAACTGTCAATAAAAATTCTAACAATTTGTTTAATTAAGCAACAAATATAATTAGGTAACAAAAATACTCACACGCAACAAATGTCTCTGGGTTAAAGAAGAACATCAGTAGACGTTGAAAGAAGCTTCTGCAGGAATGAAAATTTACTTTCAGACAAGAGACGCTCGTTTACATTTCAAATTATCAAAAAACATTTAATAATCCAATGTAATTCTGATATTTAGTAATATTATGAGATGGAAGTTGTTATATCCAGTAAAGTTTCTATACAAAATAAAAATATTTTGGTGTCAATATATTTTCCTTTTTTTGTTATTTTAGGATATAAAACATATTTTTTAAACTTTAATGAACGTAGAACAAGTATTGCATTGCTTTATATTTTTTAAATGACTCATAATAATTTTAAAAGACCGAAAAAATTTTTAATTCAATATTTTTACTTTATTTAAGGCATTTTTTGCGCAATTTTTGCATTTTAAGAGCATTTTTGGCCCTTTTTAAGGGCATTTTTTGCACTTTTTAAGGGCATTAGTTGAGATTTTTTAGGTCATCAAAATCCGGGCTCTACTCATTACCAACAATCGAGAGAGGAAATTGACATCACGTGTGTTCAAATAGTTCAAGTATATATTAACAATTTAATTAAAAAAAACTTACAAGTCTGCCACTTTCGACACTTTAACATTTCTTCGATTCAACCGATGCTTGAGGGATTGGATCTGGAGAAGAAAAAAACAAATTGAAATTAGAACCATTTTATGACAAACTGAGTATTTTCCGTATAAAAATTTGAATTCAATTACACAGTGTCAATTAATTATTTCTTTTATAAGTTAATGGTAAAATAAAACGAAAAACGATTTTATTTTAGATATATATCAGTTATGACTGCATTGAAAATGGGACAAAACTTTTTGAAATTAATGCTTAATTTTAGAATATATCTAAAATTAAGGTTACAAAGAAGTTTCAAGAAATTCGAATTCGCCAGACTAATTACATTACAGTTATATACGAGCTACACATTAAGATTATGGACTATAATATTATGGACTAAGCACAGTTAAATCATAGACTATATAATTTCAGCTAGACACGGAATGAACATAGAAATTATAGGAGATAATCTTACAGACAGACATGGACTGTAAATTGATATAATAGACTGTAATACTACAGATAACTTCAGAGTACAATTGTTAACTGAAATATACACAGACTGCTGAGGAAAATAATATATTGTAATACAGATAGAAATGGGTGTATTATAGACTATAATATAACAGATAGACACGGACTGCAGAATGAGAAGCCTATCTTGCAGATAGACACGGGTTAAAATTATAGACACAAACTGCGGAGGGAAACAGCACTCTTACTATAGCAATGAGCTATAGAGTGAAAATATTAACTATATTATCATTAGACTTGATCTACAAATAAATTTTATAGACATTAAGTTTATAGAGTTTCGCTGTTATACATGATCTAAGTAGAATGAAATTATAGACTATATAATTTCAGTTAGACTTAGAATGCACATTGAAATTATAGACCGCAATCTTTTAGATATAATAGAGTATAGGCTGTAATATTGCACTTAGAATATTGACTACACATTCATTTTATAGAAATGAAGATTACAATTTTACAGTTATATATGGACTAGGCAGAAGAAAATCATAGAAGATAGAACATATGTATATATTTCCAATTGCGTTTTAAACCTTTAAAATGGATGAATTGTTGCTCATATACTATATATATACATGTTCCCATATCTCTCCTTAATATTAATCCAAAATATTCAAACTCTGTCAGATATTATATTATAACATACTTTGTACCATACCAAAGGAATTTGTTATAGACAAATTACGGGGCAAATAATGTGGTACACTATTTAAGTATGTATGTACAGATTTCAAAGCGTAAAATAGCGTTAAAATGTAGAAATTGTTGCTTATAAACATATATGGCTCCATATCTCCATTTAATATAAAGCTATAATATTCAAACTCGGTCAGGTATTATATCATGACATACTATAGTACCATAGCAAAGAAAATAATTATGTACAAATTAAGGGGCCCACAATGTGGCATAGTCTGTAAGCATGTATGCATATATTTCTAATTGCGTTTTAAAGCGCTAAAATGGTGAAATCGTTGCTCAAATACTGTATGTGTACGCATGGTCGCAAAACCCCCCGTTGTATTACCCTATGATTTCTTTCATTATACAGTTTTATAGATAGACGCGAATTTCAAAGTGCTATTGTAGACAATAATAATACAAAGACACATGGACTATAGAATAAAATTGTTGAATTATAATATTACAAAAACACGGATTGCACCGTGAAATACTAGACTATATTATAGATAAGCACGGATTGCATCGTGAAATAATAGACTATATTAGAGATAGTCACAGATTGCACCGTGAAATAATAGACTATATTAGAGATAGAGACGGATTGCACCGTGAAATAATAGACTAAATTATAGTTAGGCACGGATTGCACCGTGAAATAATAGATTATATTATACATAAGCACGGATTGCACCGTGAAATAATAGACTATATTAGAGATAGGCACGGATTGCACCGTGAAATAATAGACTATATTAGAGATAGAGACGGACTGTAAGTATGAAAGATGACTCACCTCTACTTTGATTGTGTCTTGAGGGCTGTTGAGATCTGTTTCTGATACACTTGGACTGATGCGGCCCCCTCCCACCGCACTCTGGAAATGCTGGAAAAACAAAACAATTGTCATTCTGTATCATCATTAAATCACAAAAAGAAAGAGCTTAAACCGATAATAGTAGAATTTCTTCAACAGCCTGTTGTCGGCCAAAGGAGACATGGAGGTTTAACTATTTCGAAATCAACTGTATAATGACTCATTCCCTTAGATTAGAATTGCGCATCAGACTCCTTTACTTCCAGACAAGTCGGTAACCGTCTACCTGAAGCTGAGTGGAATTTAAGTTGCCACCGTGAATGAAACCCTTACAACGACCATCCTTCATATCTGTGATCATTGCGAATCGAGTGATAATTATAACTAAATCTTTAAATAGTTTCTCAATTTAGCTACCACTTCTGTTGAAAAGAAAGCATGCCAAGAAATACTGTAATCTAAATTTAGCACCTTTTTTTTTTATTCCATTGTTAACATAGATCCATAAGCGTCAAAATTGTTGCTCAGAAAACGTATTCCTCTATAAGGTCTTTAGTAAGAATTTCGCTATAATAAAGACCCTTATTGATGTCAAAATATCTAATTATAAAGTAAGTAATCTCTTTTTTTTCTTCTTTTTTTGAGCGAAAGGGGCACAAGTTCGGTTTGCACAGCCTCCAAAAGTAATAAACCTAATTATAAGTTAAGAGTTCAATCGTAACATAGTTCTTAAATAATTCTTATAAATAGTTCTTAAATAATAGTTTTTAAATAGTAAAATAAATTCTTAATTTCAAAGAACGTGCGAAACGACTGATGCATTAATTTCCATTTGAAATGTTTTACATTTATTTATGGACTATGATGAAATGAAGGTGGGGTATATCAGTTCGGAATCATACCTTGGCACTTTTGATTGGTTTGTTCATTCGGCACGCTTTCTTGATGTCCATTTCCGTTGTATTGACGCAACCTGGCTGCAAAAGAGAACATATTTTAGATTCAATTTAAATTAACAGTAACGTTTGTGGAATTCTCAAAATATTATAATATAACAAACATACGAAGAATCTTGTGCGTAGAACAGCATGTAGTTGTTGTGCTCGTCGGTCATTAAGGCAGAGCGATTGTTCTTGTTTTCTAAAGCCACCGTCTATGGCAAAGAATTCGACTTTTGCCACACCCACACGTCACACCCGTTTATAGGGCATAAAAATTCATTCGTCCATAGATCGTAATTTTGACCTGAACTAGAGAACGATCCATCTCCAATTCAGTACCCTCAAAGGTATTGATTTGTTATGGGGGCATGGAGGACTTTGTGACCCGACCGGTTTAGCGTGCACTAGTCAACATTTACTACACGGGAAGTCTTTGGCCGGCTGGATTCGAATTCCCGTTCTTATAAACGTGAGTCCAGCTCCTTACTAACCAGGCTATCCCCGCCACAGTAAGTGATACAATTCTTTTTATATTAGCTTGCAGGGATTCAAAAGTAAGATAATTTGATAACAGCCTAACTACTCGAGAGATCAGATTGGAAAAAATGTTGCAAAGCGAATGCGCAAAGAATTCGTATGTATTTATATATATATATNCTTAAAGAATTGCTGAGTTTTATAGAAAAATATAAATACTATCAACTGCACTTTGCACCCAGAAGCATAAAACATATCTTTCTAAAATACAGTTTGATATATATATATATATAATATGTATGTATGTATGTATGTATGTATGTATATATATATATATATATATATATATATATATATATACGAGGGGGTAATTTCTCTAGTGATGGTAATGGTGACCACCAAAATGACGTTTGAAATATCGGAAAACAGGAAAAATCACTCGGCGCGAGGTCTGAGCTGTAGAGAGGGATGTTTTAAAACTTCCCAACCAAAAAGTGTCCAATAAAGCTGGAATCTGAGCTGCGGATAGAGTCATTGTCATAGAGTAGCAAAATTCCTTGTCAGCATGGTAAGGAATTTTGCTGCTTCACAAATTGTATCTTTTTTTTCGTAAGTGAATACATGCAGCAGACTTTTGCCGATTAAAATCACATCACTGACCGTATTTTGTGTGTGTGTCGAGCAATTTGTTAAATTTGAATATTTTAAAGACACAGAACTGACAGTACAGTTTACTTAAGCAGTTGCAACTAAGCACAGTTGTTCCCAAGGGATGCTGGGACACGACACAGCACTAGTTGTGACGCATGCGTCGCCTATTAGTGTTCACAACAAAACGGCCCTTACTTAAAAAACAACCCTCGTATAAATATATACAACATGGGTTACTAATTAATATTCAAACGAATAAAAAATAAAAATGCTTTCGAAACCTAACCTGAGGAAATTAGAGATTAAAACATCAAATCCTGCTTAATATCCGAATAACATTTGAAAGTGTTCTTAAGAAATGCATTTCGCCTACTTCCTCACTCCTGTAGCAATTGAACATGTTTTGAAGTTTTGAAATCCACGTACCTTAACCCATTTCTTGCTGAAGAGGCTGAAATTAATATCTTTTCATTGATGTGAAAAGAGTCTTTATGATAAAAGTGATATCATACTTACGTTTAAATTAAGTGTATTGATTTTGGTGCATTGTTAACCGTTTCGTTTCGGTTTTTAAGAGTTTACAAGCATATAATTTCAAATTTATTCATACTACTTACCTTTTTGTTATGGTGGAGAAAGGTGTTTTTTTTTTCTTTTTGCTTCTAGCAAATACATTTTTAATAAAGTTATCATATTATTATATCCGCCGTTGAACAGCCGACTCAGTTTTTGGATTTACGTCGACTCATGTTCAACTCTGTAGCCTTGTCATTTTGAATCCAATCCGGAAGACAAGGGAACTCCTAGATCAAGTATTGGGAGAAATTTGCTTTTGTAGGGGACTTTTTGATGGAATTAACCCCCATTTGCGTTACATGGAGAGGAAGATAACGAAAACCTCCCACGGTTAGCCTGACGGCAAGGGAACCTAACATACGATCCGTCTACCACTGAGGATATTTCATGTCAGCACTGAAGCCGGATGCGGAATTTGTATCGACCAGCCATCGCCGGGATTCGAACCTCGGTTCACCTCATTGGAAGTCGAACGCTCTATCCCCTGCTCAAAGTAAACATTAAACTTTATTGGTTTTTTTAATAAAAAAAATGATCCTGAAATCCATTACTATTTGCAATCTGTCCCGAATGTATTAAATAGTGATACGCCATGATTCGAATGCGATTCTTTTTTCCCTTCTCTAAAATATTAATGAACGATCAACAAAGTTTACTGTTAACTGTTTTAACTGATAGTTTGAAACTAATACTTTTCGATTTTTTTAAAATTAAGATTGGAGTTTGATGTAAGGTGTATCTTCACTCACCACTGGTCGATGGACATCCCAAAAGGCACGCTCTTGGCTGTCAAGGACTTTCCTTTCCAGCTTATCTCTCTTTTTATCCACCCTAAAACACAATGCACATAATAAAACTCAACAATTTATCAATTAACTGTCATATTTTTAAAATTATCTAAATCATTCGTTTTTCTCTCTATTATCAATATGTATATAACGCTTTGAAAGCATTTGCCAAGTTCGTTCAGCAGTGGTCAGCTCTCCGGCACCGTAATCGAAATTGAAGTTTCTCACAAGCCCAAATTTGCCGGCTTATTAATCTGTTAACCAGATAAATGACAGCTGCTTTTCGAACTGGGATAGAGTTTATAAATAAATGTTTGAGGAATGTTATTCAGAGAAAGAAGAATGCTATAATTATTTAAGACTTGCCAATAAAATTTAATAAAATAATGATGAATATAAATACTTTGCTTGAGCCTCAGCTTGCATGAAAATAAATTCCCATTTCCGAGAAAACATCTTTTGCAACCTGGCCAGGTTCTCCGCTTCATAATCTGCTAATTCCAGTCTCGTCTTGTTCTGCATGGTGCGCTTGCAGAGATAAACAGCTAAATCAGAATGAAAAGATTATAGTACACTCATAACATGGCCCCTAATAATAATAATACAACTTTCAACGTACCGTAATCTGTATTTTCAGGTTCCCAGCAATTCGATGGCCAAAAGTACGGCGTCTAAAATGATAAATACAAACCCAATCAGTTTTGTAAATAACAACATAATTACTTTGGTCTGAAATTAAAGGTGAAACAAGAATCACTCACTTTTGTGAACGTTTTAAGTGTCTTCTAACAAAAGGAGGCGACTATTTTTGATCAGTTTCTTGGCATTAACACTTTTTTTTAATAAAAGCATGCTTATTTTTCTGCTGCATTAATCAAATCTTTTAGTGGTAGTGAATTTGCGGGGTCGCAGTACAGATGTCGAACAAAAGTTTGGAAACTTTTCTATACAAATTCTCTAAAGATTATGTTTATAATAATCTATATAACTTTATATAATAATGTTTCGGTTGTTGTTTCGAATGCCAACTGCCAATACCAGCAGGCCTTGTAGGTGATACTAAGTGAATTTAAGGCAGAGGGGGCGTTTCCTGTTTTATAGTGGCGCCATCTATGGCCAAGAATAATACTTCAGCCACGTACACACGTCACTGCAGGTTTATAGGACAGACCCATTCATTCGTCCACAGAAACAGAGAATGATCCATCTCCAATTCAGTACCCCAGAGGTATGATTTGTTTATAGGAATATGGAGGACTTTGTGAGCCGACAGATTTAACGTGCACCAGTTACCATTTAGTACACGGTCGGCCGGCGGAGATCGAACTCTCGACCACTTGGACATGGGCCAAACGCTCTACCAACCCGGCTATCCCCACCCAAATAATGTTCTTTGTGGCAACAAATGTTTTGGAATATTTTGCATGACAAAACTGTTGACATGAGAGATCATGCTTGAAGCTTTTTAGAAATGGTGTTCTCTTTACCCATTAAAACATCGAATAGACCAAAATAAGGATATAACAACTTACTAATTTAATGATTTTTTTTTCTAAATTTAATACCAGTCATTTCGAAATCGTTCTATAGCATTGCAATATTTATATAAGAATGCTTTTTTTTTTTAATAATGGTGGCATTGAAGAAAGTAAATATCCTTCCTTAATTTTGATGGATGAAAGTTTTTGCTAGGGTAAAAAGAAATCTATTTCTGAAATCTTCAAACTGTGCCAACAGTTTTTCCATGCAAAATCTTTAAAAAAAAATCTGCAAATTCTGCCAAAAAAACATTATTTTCGTATAGAGTTTGTATGGAAGTGTTTCCATAATTTTAAAGAATTTATGTACATTAGGGGAGAGTGGGGTCAATTGTAACAGAACAAAAATTTCGAGTGTCGGGTTCTAGATTTATTTCCTAGGTGGCGCATAAGGTGTATTTAATAAATCTACATGTACACCCCTGCTGGCAACCATTTTTATGTACTTTTAAAAGAGTTANCTATTCCATTTTCTCAAGAACTGTAGTAACTCCGATACAATTACTTACTTACAAGGGAAACTAGGGAAGTGTGACTCGCCAATTTTAAAATAAACTAGTGGGATGTATTCCTTATGAGAAATAATTTTAAGGAGCAACTTTCGTTTCGGCCTATAGAAGGTCCTGTGAGAGATAAAAAATAATTCAATATATAGAAAAGTCGATATTTTATTACTTCAATGCAGACTATTAGTTATTGTAATTGTCTCATACTCCAGATAATTTGTAATTAATTGGCTAATTAATTAATTTTCTAATTATAAATCAATTAGCAAATTAATTAATTAAATATTAATTAATGAATTATTAATTAATTGATTGATTTGCAATTACATGCACCAATTAATTTGGAAAATTTATGAAAAAAAAAGTAAAAAAATTTGATGTCAATTTTTTTTTTAAATTAACCCTACAGGTTTTTCTGAAAAACTACAGATATATAAAATTTTTAAAATAAATTTTGAGAATAAATTTGCATTATATAGTACGTGAAAGTAAGTACCACAAAATTAATTGGAGTATGAGATAATTACAATAACTAATAGTCTGCATTGAAGTAATAAAATACCGATTTTTCTATATATTGAATTATTTTTTATCTCTCACAGGACCTTCTATGGGCCGAAACGAATGTTGCCCCCTAAAATTATTCCTCATAAGGCAGATATCCCACTAGTTTATTTTAAAATTGGCGAGTAACACTTCCCTAGTTTCCCTTGTAANATAGCAGTGGAAGTTGTAGATTCAAGGCTTGTATGATCCGTATAAAATTTAAAAAGTGGTACAAAAATTAAGAAAATATGGTGTTTTTTTAGCAAATTTGTATTTATTACTACGCGTTAATGATTCCAAACAAATATAAAAAGTATCAAAATCGTGTGTAACTGATTTATAAACTCAAAGTAAAAGCTAATTAAAAATAAATTTGTAACTTTTATTTATTAAAAACGTTTTAAAATTTTTTAAAAATACAAACAGCATCCTGTATTCTGTCCAAATCCTACACATTCAAATTTTACTGAAAATATACTAGATGTGACGGTTAATAGGCTTTTTTTTTACGGCTAATTAATACAATTCGTTCACACTAGCTTAACCATCTTCTCTTCAGTACAGTTATTGATACACTTGATATATCTGATGTTGTTGTTGTCGTCGTAGACCATTAAGGCAAGGGGTGAGATTGTTCCTGTCTTTTAGTGGCGCCATCTATCGACTTCTGCCACATCCATATGTCACACCCGTTTAAAGGGCGCCCTCATTCATAGATTGATTCATACATCTTAATTTTGACCTGAACCTGGGAACGATCCAGCACCCCCAGAGGGTTTAATTTGTTATGGGAACATGGGGGACTTTGTGACCCGATAGATTAAGCGAGCATCAGTCACACTTTACTACACGAGGAGTTTATGGCTGGCTGGGTTCGATCTAATCTACGTATTAAATAACAGCTCATATGATATACCTGAAATCTGTAAAATGTTCCATCTGCTTTGATTGTGAGGATATGATCATCAATGGGGAAGAAATAGCCGTGAGCTGACATCAAATGACCCAGATGTAAGGCTTCAGCTGAAATTCCAAAGAAAAGAAAACCTGCTTATATCTACAAACGAGTATTTAATTAAATGAATCATAAGGTTTATTTGCATTATTCAAAATACACTGGTGTAATAAATTAAAAGAATTTGCAGACTTGGTAGATTATATACTGGATCGATTTTAATGAAATTTGATATGTACATACACTGATACAATACGAAACAAATAAACATTCAACATTTGTAATACACAAGCATGATCGTGGAGTCGGAAGGTATGAAATTGCCACAAGACAATTCAGGCCAATTGCCAAAGGAAATGATAAACTGCCTTATTTCAAGTCACGCTGCAAGGGCCCGTATATCTGTAAAAGAGGATGATACCCTTTATTAACCCTTTTTTTTGTATATCTTGCAACCACTGTTGCATACCTTCCGACTCCAATGAGTGTTTCTCACGATCATGCATATGTATTACAATTGTTGTATTACAATTCTCTAAATTTCATACACAAGTGTAGATAAAATAAATGTTATAGGATATATCGTATGAATAACAATAGTAGAGAGGTTGGACAAAAATAAGAAAACACTTCTGTAGTAACTCTATGTAAAGATTTTTTTTCTACCTGCAAATGTTTAAGATTTGTAATGTCACAACTTGAAAGATCGAAATGGGATATTTTTTTTTATTCATGCTAAATTTGCATTGACCTGAGTGTGCTTCCATTTTCAAGGCGTCTTGAAAATGGACGCCTTCTGTTGAGCGCTTGAAACATGTCGATTGTAATTTCCGCTATGTATATTTTTGAAGCGAATGAGGTTTCCAAACAGTAATGCTTTGTTAAGTGTTGCTTTGCTTTAAAAGTTTTTTGCGTCGTCCATTTATATTTATTTACTTTCAAGTTAATTTATTTAGTAGGTTAATTTATTTTAATTATTTTATTTCATAGATAAAACTGTTCAACCGATTTGCTCAAATTTTGTATTTTGCCATGTAAAATTATATTCTTTAAATTGATTTTAAAAAATTCTAAATATTTCCAAAAAATTTTTTTTGAATGGAATTACCTTTGGATAAGCGAATTTTATAATTGTGCTCAAAAGTTTTTCAATTCGCTTCAAAAATTCTAAAGATATAGCGAAATACGCCAAAAGTAAAATTAACATTAAGGGGTCTAAACTTTGAAAGCGCTCTCCTGACCAAACTATGAAGACCATATTTCCCAGAATTCGGCTACCCCTATATTTTGGGGTCAGAAATCCGAATCCGTCAAAAAAAAGGGTACGTTTATTCAGAGAAAATACGCTTTTGTGTCTGATTTCGTATTTTAATCTAATGTCTGCACTTATTAATTAGCATAATTGAAGTCACCCCCTCCAACCATTAAGATTGAGTCCTAGAACGTGAAAATCCGATCATTAAACCAAAAGTTATTCAGGGTGGTCCGTTTTTTTTCACACTATACATTACAGACTTGAATAAATATGAATCATTACTTTGTTTGTGAAAATTAAGTAAACAAAAGCACATTTAACCATCCCTTCTCCCGGCTTTATTAGAAATATGCATACCAAATAAATCCTCTAATTGGGTATACTATAGCCTACGTCACAGGTTGTGTTATTCCTACTAAATTTAACCCATGAACGGCATTTTCTGCGAGCCTAACTTCAAGCCACAAATAAACAAACGAAGTGTTTGATCGTTTAAATAGCTGCTCGCCAGATTTTATTGCATTATAAAGAAAAGTAATTGATATTCGATTTTTGATTAATAATTGATTTATGTGGATAGTGGCATTTATGTGGATAGTGGCATAGAATTTAGCATTGCGTCATGGTAAATGTTATTCCTACTAAGTGGAAGTAGTTGTGTTTTTTTTTATATTATACCCAATTTCCTGATTTCCTAATTTATGTGCTTTACTTGCACTTTCCAAAATCTCCGCTAAGTTTCTGTCGGGTCGGGTATCAATGTTTGTATTTAATCTTAGTTTTGAATTAAGAAAACGATTAGCACCTCTCACAGTTGAGAAGCAGTTAAAAATGCTTAAATAAAAATCTGGTAAAATACTCAGTTGACAGGTATAACAGGGAAAAAAATCTAAGTCAAATTTTGGAAAGTAATAAAGATGTGTAAACATAAAATTTGTCTTAAAAGTAAGTATTATAGTGAAAAATATTATGTGCTTATGCTCACCGTATTTTTTGTAAAATAATTTACTTAATATATGTCAGTTAGTAGATGGCAACGAGTAGAGTTTTGTGGTTGTCATGGTGATGGAATGTAAATAGTTTTTGAGTGAGCGTAAGATCTTTTTTCTTTGGAATGGCGCTGCTATGATTTTGTTGTGGAGTTAATAAATCCTACCTTTTATTAAACGTTATAGTAGAGTTTTCTTAATTATTTAATTCAAAGTCCTTTGAGTTTTATTTGAGGTTTTTAATTTTGTATTACGAGCCCACTCCCACCTACTTAACAGTCTTTGAAAACAGTTGGTAAAGATTCATTTTAAGAGTAAAATCGAGAAATTCGTTCTTTCTCTTTTCGTAATAAATAAACTATTTTAAGTAGAAATCAAGAATTTTCAGTTTAATTCAAAATATTTTCCAACATTGCATCTATACTATATATTTTGTCATATTTTCATCAAAATAAAATTTTATATAAAATACAGATTTAGAAATAGAGAATTTACTGGGTGTATTGTAATAAAAACGATCTAACCACACTTAGTAGGAATCTTTCCTAAGTTTGTAAAAATCATGAATTGCTTTTTATTATTTCGTAAGATTTTTAACATTTTATTGTAATTTTCTGATTGAAATATTTGAAGTATTTGTTAAAGAATTTTTATTAAATAAAGAATAATGACGTCATGTGAAAGTTATGAATTAAATGAATCGAAAAATCAACCGTTCGGCAAACCAGTTATTAAACGCCTAACAGCCGTTAACCATTTAACGATAAACTTTTTAAAAGTTGGAAAAATTTGGAGTGGACTCCCAAAGCTCTCTGAAAAGGATCTAACCTATTTATTATTCATTGAAATAGAAAAGTAAATTGAAATAGAACAGTTTAGAAGAAGAGTTGTGAAAAGAAGAATTTAGAATAAGAGTACTGGACGAGTTTGTGATATCAATGAAACATACCGCTCAATGGCTCAGCTTCAAAAAGATTTATTTGATCAATTATTACAAGAATTACATGTGATGATATGAAACTTCATTTGCTTAAAAAGATATGAAGATTGTGTTAAAAGTCCGCATGTTTCGAGCGCTCGAAAATAGGCGCTGATTTTGAAGACTCGCCAGACGTGAATGAATGAAAAAAAAAGTGATTTGAAACAGACATCCTTCATAAAAAAATATTATGACGGCAAAGTTATTTAAATGTGATTGTACGCACACAAAACAGTTCAATGCAATGTCTATGAAGCTAATTTTATGAAATTTCAAATTGCAAAGGATGACATTTATATCGTTTTTGGTTGCTTCCTAAAGGAACCAATCACGTGACGATGCGCATCCCTATAAGAGCAGCTAGGCGCTGTATTATTTACTGTGTAATTACTTAAATGTTTCTACAAACTATAGATTGCGAACATTTTGCATTAGAATAAAACATTAAAATTTTTTGAAAACTATGATCACGACCTTCCCAAATATCTTAACAACATTGAAATATGACATTGAAATATGACATTTCCTTATGTAGGGAATCTCTAAAGAATGCAGACTTTCATGTAGATTGAATTTTGTGAAAATGGAAGAAGAAAAAAATTAATTTCTTTCTTACTTTGATCTTCAACGTCGAGATGTTTCATCATCCACAATATTAAATCAGAACCTGAAATGAAAGAATGAAATATTTATATTTACCGAGTACTCGTTTCTACAAATGAAAAAGGTTTTCATAAAATTTAAATAAAGAACGCGCAATTATAGTAGCTATTGTATCATCGATTTGTCCATTAGATCATTTTCAGCTATTTTTATTCAGATTTAAGTAATAGAAATACAATCCCTGGTTATATTATTACACGCACTATAAGATTCTATGTAAAATCTTAATTATCAGGTAATACTCTATACAGCTTTATTCTTTTTATGTGACTGAAACCGGTTTGTACTCGTTTACGTTCGTGTATTAATTCGTCCAGTTAGACGACATATAATATATATTCATTGATAGGATACATGAGACGAATATTATATAAATATAGAATATTTATTACATCAGATATTTTATTAGTACATTAAAATAATTAGATTTAATGATTAGACGCACTGTAGTTTTTTAATAATTAAGTGTTTTGCACGAGTTTATAGGCAATACTTTTATATTGAAAAATACATGTGATGGGTTTTTATTCGGGATATTTTTATATACTTCCTATTTGTATTTATTGAAGTGATACTTCTTAAGGTCTGGTTTCTTAGGACAAGCGCCTTATCTGGGCGTCAGCGTGACGTCAACGTCCCGCTGACGCCAACAAAATACTGGTTTGTTAGCTCAAGGCCTGGTTTCTTAGAACTAGCGCCTTATCTGGGCGTCAGCGGAAAGTTGACGTAGAGCTGACGCCAAAAAAATACTTTTTTGTTAGCTCAGCGTGAGCAGTCGGTCC